ACAAAACATGTCATAACCATAATGCAAACAGACCTTCCTTATTCTCATGACCTTCCATTATGGCATACTGTGGAACCTTCATTTAATATTCCATGATTTAAAATTTTCTCATGTACGAGTACCAATCATTTTTGATGATCCAAAGTCACTAATCTCAGTGTGAAATTATTTCACATAAGATACTCCTCAGTTTCAAGTTCAGATTCACTGACTAGCACCTCATAATAAAAACCTTTCATGGGAATTTTACTGCACTAAAAAGCAAACGGGGCTATATGATCTACTTGTTATGGCACAAGGGAGAAGAAACAGTTAAATGTTTACCTATATAAAGTCTACCAGCCACCTATGTGCTGTACAGTCATGCCTTAAAAGATGTAAATATTTAGCCACGTTGCATTATTCATCTGTTGTGCATCACTGTTATAGCAGCAACTGGAATGCAACTTTATATTGTCTGTGTCACTTTTATTACTACTTAACTGCTTATTCAACAGGTTCCTGTTCTTCTGTTTTAGTAGCTTGTATCTGATATCTAAGCTGCTGGTTTCAGGGTTTAGCCATGTTGTTTGTTGAACACGTCCCAATGTATACTGCAGTCACCATCTTCAGGGTAAATAGGACAGGAGGGCAAAGTGGACCGATATCTAGGTCTCTCAGAGGAGGTAGTGCTGGGGCATGGCGTTATCCAGTGAGAAGGGGATATGTGGTTATGAAGGAGGGCTGGAGCAAAACAGGTGCAACCGAACTGTTAACCTTTAAGAGCCTAGCGACACCATACGGGACCTTTAAAGTGTACCTGAGTGGCCGTGCAACACCATATGGGTACATGCAGTCCTCACATGAGCACAGTGTTTTAAAATCTAATTTTAAGATAGAAATTCTTGTTCTACTTACATTATTTTTGGGCACCCGCTTCATAAGCATACAGTCTTCCCTCCTGAGTCATCTAACTGAATGAAGAGTCCGATGTCGCAATTCATGCACTTTGTCCGGATGTAACTCTGTTTCCCACGCGAAGAGCACACACGACACCTCAGTCTCATATTAGAGGAAGTCGGCCAGTGATGTCAAGTGGCCTCCTATAATCGTACCGCTTATAAAACATCGCAATTTCAACTATCCACCATGGTCTCATTTCACATGGAAGAAGCCGAAATTGAGAAGGCGCTGATAAATGACACTGATTCAGAATGCGGTAGACAACTTTGACCTAATCCTTCCAGCCAGACTATGGCCCTGGGGTCGACTAAGCCTCGAACAGAAATGAGTACCAGTTACTTAAATAATTTTCCTGGGGAGTAAAGCATGGCCGGCGCTTAAGGCTGACAACCTTACTCCCATCTTTGAGCCGACTGTCTTGATGAAGTGGGACCCTCAATGTTTCACAACACTATGGGCCTTTGCGGCCTGTTACAGGGATAGCCTTACTTTACTTACTTTTAGATAATCAGGGAACCCATCAAAACAGACATCGCCACAACTTCAACCAAGATGGATACACCTACGCAGTCTGGCTGCAAGTGTTCTCCAACCCTTCTTGCCCACAAGGTTCATTCCCATTGGAAAACACCATGGCCACCATTACTTCTACTGTAAGCCCTACATACCAGCCCACTTCTTCATTCATCCTGAAGACAGTTACCACAACGAACTCCAAAATTACATACAGTCAGGAGCTCAGTACAAACTGGCCACAACAAGCTGATGGACAGAGCAGTAATATATAATTACCCACATTAAACCTGGGGTTACAAGATTTATAAATGTTTCAGTTGTAGTCTACCATAATTAATATCATCTCAACATCTTTATATGTGCGCACTAATTTCAGCACAGTAATAACATCTTATTATTTTTTATTTCATGTATATAATCCCAACTAATTCTCTCTGCCCAAGGAAAATTTTCAAAAAAAAAAAAAATGCTGATAAAATACGTACTGAAGAATGTTTGCATCATAGGGCTAATCCAAGGGGAAGCACAATAGATCATTGAAGGTCGCAGTGCAGGGGCCAGTTTCTATGGCCCACCCCTTACATACATACATACATACATACATGGCTGCATCCTTGGTAATATAATATGAGATTCTTACCTCTCTTCCAAGCAACCTATGTATTCCTTCTTTCTCTTGCGTGAATCCTGTGCTGATATCATACTACAGATTTTTCTTCTAATCTCTTTAAGTTCATGCTCTTCATCTTGTGTGACAGGATAATGAGAAGACGGTCTGACACCTTTTTTTAAGAAGTCGTTTCTCTTCGGCTGCAAAGGAATACTTTAAGCATCTGTTACAGTACATAAGACACACAAAAATTATTTAATTTTGTTAAGTAAAATGTACTTCTTAGTAGCCAATGCTTTTCTGGAACTGCATTTGTACATCAAATTTATGAAGTTCACACTGGGACTCTTCAAGAAAGTTACTTGAAACAAAGCGGCCTCCATAATCTAGAGGTAACGTTCCCACCTCATGACTCGTGGTACGCGGGTTCAAACCCGGCAGAGGTCGTGGAATTTTTAAGGGTGTATAAAATTCAGGGAACAAGTCCTCTGGGAGGGACTTTAAGCCGTGGGTCCCGTGTCGTAGCTTTACAGCACGTAAAAGAAACTCATATCTCCAAAGGAGGTCACTGAGCCAAATTCAAGGATGTTTCCCGCCCAACAGTAGTCTCTAACGCCTCTGACAGATGGGGGAAGCATTATAAATACTGCACAAGCCAGTAGAGGCCGAACTCGCTGGCTCGGTCAGGACTGATGGTACGCACCAATATCGGTAGGGTATAGAGACTGGTAGAATATCATAGAGGGAAGCACAATGGACCAATACTGGTGTAAGTGCATGGGGGAACCCACCCTCTCCAATAACTAACCAACTACTTGAAACAAACTGCTACATACTTCACATTCTAAGACAAATATTATTTAATAATACAGAAATTCAAAAGTTTCCAGTATGTTCATAATAAAAGAGCTCAGTGACATTAACACTAAAGGTTCACTACCAATTGATGAATGAAATATTCTGATTTACATAATGGAATTCATATCATGACAGCAATAAACTCTCTTTTAAGTCACCTGCAATCACAAATTCAAGAGTGATTCATATGAACTTTCAGGTCAAAAACTACTCATTGAAAGATTTGCTATGACAGGTGCAACACATACATCATAGGAGATTGTTTAAAATATGCAAAAATTCATGCTTCCTTTGTAAGACCAAACGTCATTTACTTTACGTTACTATGAATCATCCTCAACTTATTCAAAACCTCTTAAACCATAACACTTCTGTTAATCATTCTTACGTGTTAAATGAAGTTTTGGATGCTGTAATGCCAGTACTTGTGCCTCCGCTGCACTTGCAGCAGACAGAAGCCGAACATCATCCAATATGTCTTCCAAGTTTAGAAAACACTCCATCACATCCTCGGGTACTGATGACCAGCTTTATTCCTACAAAACAAAAAATAATCGTTTTAATTCTGTTTCACAACACTGACAAACGCAAATAAATTTCTCTACAGGAAATGTAACTTACAGCCATCATTTCAACGAATTTCTCTTCACTCTCGGTCCTCTTGGTCACTTGGTCGGCTGCAGAGTGTCTTCTACAATATGAAATTGTGAACTAGGTGAAATAGGGAACGCAAGATGACCACAAGATCCATATTATATCATTTTGAATGTGCTCCAAGGGACACAGATGACACGGATTGGCAAAGGTGAATAATTTGAATATTTGAATAATATTAATTCACTGACCATTGGTTAGGACGGTTAGGACGGTTAGGACTTCGACTGCTAAATCATCTGCCACGATATATTACAGAAATAACAGTACTATATATAAGTTCAAAAACGCTTTGATAACTTACCTACTCGATCATTGTTTTTATAAAGTGGATGAGTTTCTCTCGTGTGAGACAATCACTAAGCAATTATAATCACATAATTCATGAATAATCGGTTTTGGGAATCCCTACTGCGCAGTTTTCCTTCGTTTTTGCCAGCAACCAAGATAACAGTCGGAGATTTACCTGAATGAGCTACTCTGGAGAGATTGCAGATACAAAGAAGCTACACCAGGAAGGGAGAGCAGATGTAATGAGATGTTGCAGTGTAGAGTCGACAGTGAAACATTATACCAGTGCTATCACCAAATTCACCAATATTATCTCAAAGGCCGCGCCATAGCTTAAGCAGGTAGTCACTGGCTTCCCACTGTTGCAGTCTAGTCAAGTGGGATTTGTGATTTTGTGATGGACAAAGTGGCGCTGAGCGCGCTGAGGCAGGTTTCCCTGAGTACTTCGGTTTCCCCTGCCTATCCTCATTCCATCAAATTCTCTATAAGCATTATCACCGGTACAGGTACAATAGGACATATGGAAGCCGACGTGGCGAGGGGACCTAATATGGATTCCACCTCACACTATACGAACTCCAAATACTCTAATCTACTGTAATTTATTATAAACAATTGTAAGTATTGTAACTTTACTCTCTTATTGTAATCAGCCAATGTACAGTAACTGACTTGTCCTATATCATGTAGCAATGACCTATAGAGACGAAATAAATAAATAAATAAATAAATATTCATTTTATTCTCTCAGGATCATCGACCTCCATTTTTTATTGTGGAGAATAACTGTAAATACAAAAAAGCCTAGTCAATATCAATCCCGTACTTTGGAGCACATTCTTAGTTAGACATCACACCTTGAAGACGTATGGATAGTGGAGGTATAGCTCCAACCACTCTTAATCTTGACACTAAATGGATGGGAGCTATCAGTTCCATGCTCCAGACAATTCACCCTCTGAGGAAACCAAGCCTTGTACGTACTGAATGATGTGTTGTGTGGGCCATAGATTCAGTCTGAATGCTATAGAGAAAAAAAAAAAACCTAACTTCCTGACTACTGTGCCAGACGCCTAGTTAGGAACCATAACTCAGCCATCCTGGTTTCCAGCAAAACCTAACTGTGGCGAGGCCTGAGAAAAATTACTGCTTGAATTCCATAAACTTCTTCTGGGCAAGATTTCCCACACACAAAATAAACGTTTGCATTGTCCACATGCCGTTATGAGGAAAACGCTGATGGGGCACAAGACAGCTGCTAGAATCATGTGAGAGTAATCTCCATCACTGCAGGTTACATAACAAAGAAATTTTTCTTCTAACTTTTAGATATGTTTAACCATGAAGGTTTTAGATTTCTAAATGTGCAATATGACACTGTGAATAACAATCATACTGTAGGGATCATTTTGAATCAATCTGTTCTGAAGGGAATCTAAAAATGTTTGTTTATACATCCACTGCCATTAGAAATATTTCAGTAGCATAAATACTTCTCTTTGGCCAAGGCCTTGTTGCTGGGTCGGTTATAAAATAATATCTACAGGCAACAGTTGTCGACTATATACTCGTATATAGCGGTGGTCTGCTATATACCAGGTCAAGTACCCACTTTTAATTAATATAGGCTGACTTATATTATTTAAACCATCTGAAATCCATTTAATTTACCGTCACGTAATTGGATACCTACAATCATGACTATTTCAAGTATTTCGGTTATTTCAGAAATGAAAAACTGGTAACTAATTTTGAAAATACTACGTTAGAGAAACAGGTCTTAATACTATGAGGGAATATAATTATAAGCAAATACATACCTCAATCCTCGACATGTTTCTTTCACTCAAATAAAATTTCTTTCTTTCAAATTACTTCATTCTCCTCCTCATACAACCAACGCTAAGCTAACGCGCACATCGAACTGCGTGGCATAGTAGGGGCACGACCGGGCAGGACAGGGCAGGGTAGGGCTGCACGGAAAAAAAGAACTGTGTGGCACAGTTGTCGATACATATTGGAAAGGAGTTTTGTTCAGCAGTTTGACGAAGACAGGGGTAGTTTGTGCGAGTAACCAAATCGAAAATCAAAAACATGTTTGCGGCATACCTTGATTTGAGCTCTGAGTCAGATTCGGACAGCGAGTTAGAAACATTACTATTACTCTATCGGAAGTCGAGGAAGGTAAAGCTGTGGAAAAGTGAGTACATGAAAAAAAGAGGAACTCACGGGAATTTGCACTGACAAGAGAATTCTCCAATGAACGATTTGTGAACTATTTCCGTGTAAATCGAGAGGAGTTTTAAGAAGTTCATAGCATGATTCAACCTATTGTTTGCTCCGAGGGATGCAATGCCGAAACTCCAATTGAAACTGAAGAAAAACTGGCAGTATTTTTTATGTAAGTTTTTTATTTTATGTTTTTAAGAACTGATAATATTCATTACAATATAATAAGAAACTAATAATATACATGGCAAAAACGCATAGAAATATTTATTCTGAGAAATGGTTAATGAAAGAGACTACGTTGGAAGATTCTAAGTTTTCACGAGAAGCCACCGTCTCTCCACAGAAGTAGGAAGGAGGTTGCCCTGAAGAGATTGATGAAGCAGGAGAGCTCACATGTGTCCAATTCGACCAGTTCCCCAGGTGATGACTGCTGTCGCCAGTACCAACTACTGGGTTAAATGTAGGTTCAGTAATATTCAGCAGGCGTGCCTCCTCTTGCGATACAGTGAGAAATACGTTTCTTCTTACAATGTGCTGAAATGTTGCTGGCATTTTTTTGGTCAGCTCGTACATTGACATGCAGAACAGATACAGATCGTCCTTCGGAGTTGTTCTTGCTTCTAATTTTTTCCTTTCTTCACTTCTTTCTTTTGATCTTTGTTCTCGTTGCTCAATATTCTTTTTTATTAAGTTGTCAATATCAAAATTTTTCACCTCCTTCTTTGGATGTGGCGTTGTGGAGATTCAGCAGACTCGTTTTTGCAGATGAATTACGTGATTCATCCTCTTCAACGTCGGCAGTGTTTGGTAAGTCCGAACCTTCATCATTTATCTCGTAAATAGGTTCACCTTCACAACGTTGGGCTTCAAGGTCTGTATGGTGATCTTCATTAGGAGGTTCTGAACTGTCATCATCGTCGGCGAAATTTGTATCACGGTTTTCATTGACCATATAACGTAATAAAAATTCCATTTGAGCTTGGAACTTCCACGATTTGATATCTGCAGCAGCAACTCCACTTCTTCTCACACGTCGCTGTCGTCGTATAGCGTCTCTGTGATTATTTCTTAATTTCACCCAAATACAAATATAAATCACTCCGTCCAATGTGACCTGTAAGTTTTTTACTACATGAAAACTTAACACCCTTACATGTTTCGGTCTCTGTGGACCATCTTCAGAGGGCAAACATCACTACAAAGATGAAACCACCATCACATAAGTTGTTTAGACGTAAAGTACTGTAACCGTACGCATCCTTCACGGAAATGTCTTATTTGTTTATAAGTAACGGTTAAGTTTGGCTGTGGAAATGAGATGCCCCGGAGGGATCATGGTCCTCTGAACTGGCCTTTTGTTGCGAGGGACAGAAGGGTGGTTGGTGAGTCCATTGCATTCAGGGGGGAGTAGGAAAATATTATAAATCAAGAACAGGCGTAGCCATGGGCTCTCCCATATCGAATACAGTGGCAGAAATCTTCCTACAAAACATGGAACAAAGCAGAATAAAACATCTGATGGAAGATGAGAAAATCAAATACTACAACAGATATGTAAATGACATCTTCATAATATATAATCACACAAAAATAACTCCCCAATGCATCCTCGAACAGTTCAATAGACAACATAAAAACCTACAATTCACAATAAACGAAAAAGTAAACAACCAAATAACCTACCTAGACTTAAACATAACCAACAGAAATGGACATATAGAAATGGAAATATACAGAAAACCAACATCGACAGACATAACTATAAATAATAAATCATGTCACCATAAAAAACAAAAAAAACCAACATATAAAAACTGGATACACAGACTTCTTACACTTCCACTCGAGAAGGATGCTAAAAGGAAAGAATTAAACACCATTATTAATATAGCACTAAATAATGGCTATAGAAAGGAAGACATCATACACCTCTATAACAAACTTAAACAAAAGATAAGTAACCCGGATAATAAAGTCGAAAAAGAACAACAAAAATGGGTCACTTATACCTACACAGGAAACTATATACGAAAAATCACAAAACTATTCAGAAACACCAACATAAAGATAGCCTTTAAATATTTGTGTTATGTACCGTATTCCCTTTTCTGGGAGTTCT